GCCACAGGAGCTGCAGCCCAGCTTGCTGTCACTGCCAGCGTTCTGTTGTGTAGGAAGGAGCCCAGAATAGCAGCCTTCTTACTACCTCCCTCGGGGTGCTTCAGCAATTTCTCAAAGGTCAGTAGGAACTAGTTATCAATTAAAGGAGCTCTGTCTGCTTTTAATGCATCTTACAGGTAGTGGAGCAAAAAGCTTTCAGATTCTGCTACCTCTTTCCTTGGAATACCTGTGAGGATGTGAGGATCCAAGGCCAGTTGATTTGTTGATATCATGGGGATCAACATCAAGGTAGTCCAGACGAGTAGGCTAAGAATGCTGGCTTGATCAGTTTGGTCTGGCAGGAGAAGCATTGTAGCAAGTATTCTTTCAGTGGCCTGTGATAAAATGAGCATGTCCATAGAATTAGAAATAGCCAGTCTGGCTCCCAGTCATTTGATCTGCTCCCAAGAACAATCTTGAAAGATCTGCTTAGTTTATAAATCAGCCAAAAGACAGAATATCCTGATGGTAGGTAACAAATATATTTGTGAGAAGGATCTGGACAAAAAATGCCAAGCGGGGGATTTTAAAGTTTTGCTTTCATTAAAAGATGAAGGAGAGTTTCATTGGGAGGCTTAGTGACAACTTGATATTGTTTAGACAGTGATCTGTCTGAAGAAAGATTAATGTTAATTAAAGTGGCATTGGAGAAATTCAGCAGATGACAGCAGCCAAGCTGGCTACAAGCTATTTTTAGAAAATTTACTTCATTGCATTCGATATGACTCATTTATTAAGTTAACGGATGAATCAATAGCTCAGCTTCTTATGGCAGTCTCTTAACATGGAACTGTATAGAAAGATTGTGTTCATACCTTTGGTCAGAATTCAAATTATAAAAGCTGACCCGTATGGATTCAGTCCAAGCACACAATTGTCTTGCACAAAATGGAGCTCTGCAATAATTCTCCAGTGAGTCCTTCTGAACATGGATATATAGAGGGGCACAGGGGAAAATGAGCCAGAAGTCCAACTTGCACTATTTGGAAAGTAACACAAATAGCAAATAGCTTGTTAAAATAATGTAACAGAGTTGTAATTTATTTCTCTTTTAGTTTTGTCATGAGTTTACTTTTCATCTGAGCTGAGGTTCATTGTTTCTTGCCTCTATTTGAGCACAGTTCTTCCTGGTTTTCAACTTTCCTTAACTGGGATGTAGTTTTCTCTCTTCCATGATCTTCTGCTTTAATTAGTGAAATAGTAAAGCATCCATCTGTTCCAATACAACTGTGTTGGCCTTAGTTCAGTTTAAGTTTATTTCCTGTATTTTGCTAATTTTTTAGGTTGCTATAGAAACCCTGTTGTTCTCCTGAAGCCTTTTTGTGAACTTTTGCGAACCCAGTCGGAAAAGATGAAAAACACACTACATTTTTATTAGTTTTAAAACCTTTGTTAAAATAATTATATTCATTATTTCATGATTATTTTAATGGAATTTCTATCTAATATTTTTTTACTCTTGCCTCAAAGGCCTTTACCAGTTTAGCCCAGTGTAAGATGTGGTTTTTCATTATTATTGTGTCAGCTCTTATTTCTACATCTAGGAATAATTTCATTTCTCTTTTGCAAAGAGATTAGAGAATTGGGCTGTCTGTATTACATTCAAGGTCTGATACAGAGCTGATAAGACTAATGTCTGTCAAAATTTGAATATAAATTCTGGTACGTTTGAGACTATCTCTTGCATATACAAGTCAAACATTAAAGGTAACTAGTATTTAAAATAATTTCACTGTTAAATAGTGTGGCTTGCTATAGTGTGAAAATGCTGCAGTTTGGGAGAGAGACTTTGCACATTAGCATTCTCTGGATGAAGTTTGGGACCATCTTTTCAGTGTACTGGAAGTAGCTGGCTGTGTATTTTAGCTTTGCTCTTGGTTGGGTGTGTATCATCAGAGAGAAAATGCTATTTCTGTTGGAGTGTGCTGGATGTTGAGTCGTTCAAATGGAGAGCAATATTATAAAATCTGTAAAAAAAGGTGAAATATGTGAAAGACGATGAGTGACTGCACAGAATTTGCAGTGATCTGAGTTCTGGCCATTCTAACATGTTCTTTGCTGCATTATATTTTAGCATACAAAGCCCATTGTAGCTAATGCATACTCAGGCTAGCTGGTTCTTTGCTCCTCTGATCACAGTTACTTCTTGAAACATTGGGATTAAGAATGGTACTGTAAAATATCCTAAAAAAACAACCTACAGAGAGAGGTTTTTCCACAACAAAGTGAAAAAATATGCCATGTGCAAGCCCTTTGTCACAATCTGTGTGTCATCCTAAAGCTGAAATCTCCTGTGTATAATTGTCTGGTTTCTGTTCTTTCAGATGTCTGTAATCAAATCAAGGAATTGCACAATCACAAGCAAGCTTCCAGACAGGCCACAATTCATGGTTACACTTAAATGTAATTCAGAGAAACACTTGAAATATAAAGTTTTCCTCAAGCTGGACATATCCATTATTGCATTGATTTTCAATCTGCCTTGATTTTGCTGGTTTTTCTTAGCAATCATCACAGTGTTTTTGTTTTGATCTGTTACTTGTGTATGCGATTTTGTCCAGTCTCTTACACTTTAGACTTAAGTGACTGTAGGAGATTTGCAGTAGTGATGTGGCTGTGTTAGCTGCATCCTCCCAGTGTGTGTGATGCCTTTAAACTTCTGTGAAATTCACAGCCAAACTTTATATATAAAGTGAAATGTCCTTTTTATGTCCTTCACCAGTTTAATCTGGTACTATAATCTGCTGTGGTGGATCTCTTTCAGAAGTTACAAGATTGACTGAAATCTAATGTTCTGAAATGAAGAAAGTATAGACTTCCTTAAAAACTTCATTTCAAATCTGAGACATTGGTAAAATTGTATATTAATGTTCTCTGATTCTCTTTCAGCTTCAAATTTGTTATTTTTTATGTTTGCAGACAGGATTTTTAAGATGAAGATGTCAATGTAGGATTGTAAGTGGGTTAAGAGAGATGTGAGCTGGAGTTATCAGTGAGATATTGTTTATTTAAACAATAATATTTTTTAATATGTCTTCTTTCAAAAATGTGGAATTGTGGTAGATGACATTTTACTTTTTAAGAGTGGTACCATTTGAGCTGCAACTTGGCAGCTTCAGAGTGTGTTAAACTCTTAACACAAAACTTTGCAGAACTATTTGTGCAGTGCTGGTAATTAACGGTGTAAGCAAATCAGATGAGTTTACTGAGTCAATTATTTTGATTTTTTTTTTTTCTATTCCAAGAAAGTTCTTAATAGTTGTTCCAAGTGTGGCCAATAAAGAAATCTGGTGGAATTCCATGTTGCTGGAGTGCTGGCAGCAGAGGTTCTGTATTCTCCTTCTGCTAGAGGGTAGAAAGACAACAATTTTTGTGGTACTCCCCAAAAAAAGCAGGCAGGCATGGATCTCAAAGAAGTACATAAAGGTTTCTTTCTTATGGACCTCATTGCAGTAGCCATAGGGCTGGTCAGGTGCCACATTAACGTGCCATCAGAGCCATTGCTTGTCACAGTTTGGTGAAACAATCCTTTGTCATGATGCTAAAGCTCATTTCTTGTAGCTATCCCTAGTAACACCAGTTGAACAAAAGTAATGAAAAATAAAACTTTGTGTTTGTACTTACACTAGTAAAAAAAAAGTTTCAGTTCTCTCCAACTTTTATTTAGCTCACTTAATGAATGGCAGCAATGGAAGTTTCAGAGGAAATGGGAGAGAGCAGCTGCTACAGTCTTTGTCCATGATGAATTTGGATGCTGTAGTATCTGAGCCCTGTCTCTACCTTGGAAATCATAACTGATGTTACCTGGAGCAGTGATGGACTTCAGGCTTTTCCTATGTAGACTTCATCCTCTATGTAAAACCTTCAAACAGTTAATTTACAAGAGAGATATGGAAAGGCAGGACTTCAACGGAAAATCTTAATGAAGTTTGTGTTACTTTCTTCTTCCCTTTTTCACTTGACTAAACAGTATTTATAATAATTTCAAGATATGAGAAAATACTTCTGTGTAGAAATGCTGACAATTGGAAAGAAAAATTCCCGTAATAGGGAGTTAATTCAAATACACATTTGATGGGTGTCTACTGGTTTACAAAAAATAGTTTCTTATGTGACTTCCATTTTTGTAGGATCCAGAAAATGAATAGTATTGCTGTGTAGAGCCAGCAGGAGGTCATTAGTGCACTTATATTTTTAGGTCTGAATTGTCACTATCAATGAAACTGCTTCATGAAATCAAAGCAGCCATGTCTGTATGTCTCTGGGGAAAATGAAATACTAACCACCATTTATAGTACATGCTATTCATGCATCTTCAGTATGTGAACTGTTCTTTACCAGGATTTTTGTAGGATTTAAAAAAGTAATTTCAGTGAGTTCCAAAACAAAACCCTCTATTTTTTCTGTGTCAATGCCAGCTATTGCCCATCACCCACATTTTATTACCAATCATTAACCACAGACATTTTTCAAACGTGGAGGCCATAGAGTTTGTGTGATTTGTGATGTCTGTAAATGCACATTTAATTAAAAAATCTCAATTTGTAGAATTGCATTTGGATGCATTTCAGACTTTGCAGCAGCATAGTGAAATGCTCAGGACAAAGCATGTCAGGCTTCAAATATTTAAACTCGGCCATTTGCCATAGACAATCAACAAGAAATCATAGAATATGATGATTGATTGCCATTAATATAAAAAATACCATCCTGATGATGGCAATTCTGCTTGGCTGACTTGTTAATGGGATGGACACCTTGTTTCTAGTATTTATGTTAATCATGTAAGGATTTTTCATTGGATGAAGAAAGGGGTTTTTTTGCTTTTGATTTGAGACTTCCTGCATTTTACCTCTAAATTGGTAGAAGGAATATTGTGTTTTGGAACAAGTCATGAGACTATAAACATACTGAATTTTCTGTTACTGATTTTGAGAATATCTTTCTTTTCCTGATTTCAGGTTGGGTGGGACTATATCTGCATACAAGATAGTGCCAGACGAAATAGAAGAAATCAAGGTACAGTATTACTGCTTTGCAACACTGAATTTCTTTGTTTGGAAAATTACAGAAGTGTTACATTAAAAAGCCATGTTATTTCTTGCTTTGAAGTGTATCATAGGGGAGAGAGGAAAGTGTCTGAAGTGAAATTATAAGATCTATATTTATGCATCTAAAATAGAATTTTAGTTATTTTTACAAATACAATTTGCCTTTAGCTTAAGCTGACTTCAGCAGGATTTGTTTGATGCCAGATTACTTATTGATACCTATTTCTGGTTTGCTACCTGAAGAGAGATGGAGGCCTATGATGAACACTGAGTTATATTTTCATAACAAAAAATATATATAGTGTCCTTCTGCTTTTGAGATCAAAAGCACATCCATATTTTTCAATATTGTCTTAAGAAGAGGATACTATGAAGTAAAAAATCGTTATAAGCTCAAAAAATCGTTATAAGCTCTTAAATTTTGAGTAGTGATAACAATAAATGCTGAAGTTTACCTTCAAAGCAATGTGCATTGTAACAAAACTCACTTTAGCCAAGTCCATCCCTGAAACGTACATCAGCAATTGGTGTCAGTTTTGTTTTCAGTGCAGTGAAAGATGGGTACTGGGGGGGATTTTGGCCTGGATGTGATGGCACAGTTTGTGTAGCTGATTCTTTATTTGATTGTTAGTAGGTCAGTCTGACATGCAGCTTGCTCACTGTGATTGCTTAACCTGCTGTGCTGTTTCACATACTCATTTTCAGCTGTGCAAGGAGAATTAAGAATAGTTCTTAAATCTTGTGAAGGGAAATGACTGTATAATATCTGATGTAGACATGACTTTGCAGTGTGCAAATGGTGAGAATTTATTCCTCTTCAATTAGTATCAAACCCACTGCAAGCAAGTCACTGAAGAGTGACTGCCTGTATCTGCATCAGTCAAAGTTAGCACACCATCATGATCAAAATTTATTTTTGTCATCTAAGATTCATGGACTCCTCTGTCCTGAATTTTATCCTGATTTATTACTGAATAGATCCAGTATTCAGACTTTGGTCCCAGAATAAAAGAAAGAAAGAAGGTTTTCAAAATGTATTAGTGATATTTTCATGATGCTCAGAGAAGTGCTCCAAAACTATTTAAAAAAACTTACAAAAACTCTAAACCACAATCTTTTTCCTTTAATATAAGAAAACCAATACCACAGATATTTTGTTAATGTTGAAGATGAAGAAAGCTGATATTTCTGGCTTCATCGTACTAAACTGAGTTCAATGAACAAAGAAAAACGGAATGTTGAGAGATAAATAATTTTACTTTTAGAAACTTACTGCAAGATTGGTAGTCACAGGAATCTGTCACCTTCTTAGGAGAACTATTCAGAATGTTCAGCTTTTTCTTATTTAGCTGGCGTTTAAGTGCTTGAGATCCTAGGAAGCATCAAAGGCTGGGTTACTCATTATTCTCAGTTGTGCCAGGATGTAAGTGTGGAAGAAGGATTTCATTGTTCAAAGTCAGAGCTATTTAAAGTGTTGGGAAAAATCCCTTCCCTTACTTGTTTCTGGTAACTGTCCTGTCTTGTTCAGGTAATGTGGTTTTTAGGTTGTATTGGAAGTCTGGCCACATCTCACACCTTAAATGATTGAATTTCTCAAGCTGCAATACATGTTATTTATATTAAACAAGGCACTACTGGAAGATGCCAAGACAGACAAATACATATTGGATATCAAAAAGTATTATTTCGTACACATGTATTCTGAATAGCAGCTGATAAACAGTGAGACAGAGTGCCCTTGCACAAAATATAGGAGGTGGTTTTAACATCTGAAAGGCTCTCCTAGCTGATTGGAGTAGAAAAAAGAGAGAGGAGAAAATAGAAGGCAAATCAGCTTACTGGAGTATTGCTTCTAGAGAGAACACCTTAATTCAGTTATTTTTGCCTTACAAGTATCTCTCCCCTATTTAAACATGAAATATTAAGGAAGTTAATTTGATGAAATACTCAAAAATAATAGCTTCACTTTTAAAATCTGATTTAACTTGATGGATTGTTGAATTATATTTATGCGTGTTGTAAACTGCTTTCGTAAATGGCAAAGGAGATACTTTATCAGAGAGTTCAATAATTACTATGACAAATAAATAAGTCTCATAATGGCATTTGCATGTATTCTAGAAAAGGTGGTAGATTAACCTCTTTTGCAGCTCAAAATAACTTATGAGGAAAACCAATGTATTAATTTTGTTAATTCCTGTAGTTACACCTTAGGCAGAACACCATTGTAGGCATATGAACGAGGAGTACTTAGGGCAGAAGTGATAACATGTACCCTAACTAGTGTCATGCACCAAACCAAGGTTAGGAAGGATTGTGTGGAACTGATCACCACTACAATTCCACAGCGTCTGCATCAGTCTGAAATGAAATGTCATGAAACCTACCTTCCCTAGATTTTTGTTAGAGGTGTTTAGGTTCCCAAAGTGAGAGCACTCAACAGGTAGCATTACCTAGGTTTCCCCTCTGAAAGCTCTTCTAGAAGGTAGATATATCTTATATCACATGATCTTCTACTTCAATAAAAGACGCTTTCAGAGAATGCATAAATGGATGTACTACCATCTGCATTCCTGTCATTCCTCTACACCAATTAAAGCAATGTCACTTCATTTTCAGTACCTGCTGGTTTAAAATACTTCCAGAACTGATAAAGACAGTAAATATAGAAACTGCAGCACTTTCTGAGGAAGTGTCATTGTTTCAACTTTCTCTATACTTTTATTTTCCTCAGAATATTCATCCTGTAAGCAAGAAGCTTTTCAAACTACCAAAAAAGCATTTTCACATTTTAGCCTTGTTCCTCACCCACTGTAATGGTATGTGTCTAAAGGAGAGGTCTTCCAAGCCAAATGATTTTGTGTACATAGGGCCTGGCAAACCTATCAGGCAACACTGGTTTTGATGAACAACATGGAGATTGTCTCAAGAATAAAGAGAAATTTATGACTGTTACAGGTTAGACAAAGTTTACTTGATGTGTCTTATGCCAACAGTATCATCTTAAGGTTTATAGTACCATGAGAGATTTTTTTTTTTTATTTCTGCATTCTGCCATTACAAAGAATACATACAATGTGGTGAAGGGTGGCTGTTATAGAAGAAGACTCAGTGAATGAGAAAACCACACATTAACAGATTTCTAAAAAAAATACTTGGTTTCTTAGGATTTGCTAGTCAATAGCAGAAAGGAATTTAATTGTTTTGTGCTGGGTTTTTTATGTGCTGTTGTATATACTTTTCATGTAGACATATGCATGCATCTCATTTCAAGACCAGAAACTGATTTTGTAGCCGGTCCTTAATTCATGAAAGTAATATGCACAAGAAAGACATGGTTAGAACATTTCATTCCTGTAATATTTGTGGCATGAGACAGATATTCCAGTGTAAAGTTAAGTAGTTGTCTCCTGTGGCAGTTAGTTTTAAGAAATCTTGTTAGAAATATTTTATTAGTACTGGTTGTAAATTGTAAATTTAGATGTAAAGCAGTTCTGGAGCAACATGGGAGGGTTTTTTTAATTCCATTAACCACCCTTTCACAGACACACACTTTATGCTCCTCAAGGAACACTTGTAATTCTTCTATAGATATTATTTGAATGAAAGCATATATGAATAAAGTATTAGAGGCTGCATTTAAGACTACATTTTACTCTGAATAATGGTAGGAAAGCTCTTTTTTTCTTTAGTAGTATGTGTTAATATATGAAAATTTTTATCCACAGCTGAAACACATTCTTCTCAGATTGTCTTCAGTTTTTGAGAAAGTAGACTCCAGTGATAATGATCCAAGAGTAGAAAATGATAAAAACTGTGAGGGAGACTGAAGTAGCCAGAAAGAAAATGGTGAGCTCTGTGTCTTCTTAAGAGGTCAGTTGCCCTAGATGACTTAGGAATTCAAAAGATTTTAACTTTTCCACTCAGCCATTTTTAGGAACACCTTAGGAACAAAGGAAGTTGATTTCAGTGTCAGTGACATGTATTTCAGAGCAAAGCTGTACTCCCTGCCATCAAAAGTATGCAGCTTAGATATCATTCCAATTAAAATCAGTCTATTCCAATACTTTCTTGGAAATCATTTAGTTTGCTGACTTTGTGGTGTCATATACCTACATAATGCTTTATCTCAGAATGTTTTGTTGGTTTTTTTTTGCTGGTAAGAGTAGCTGATGAAACTCATGCAAGCTTTGTGTGCAGCCTGACCTTGATCATTCAAAGCATTTTCATATTTATCAACATGTGGCAAAAATAAGTAGCAATTTGTCAGCAAGTGCCAGTTTGTAGACCCATATTAAAAAAGAAAAGCCACGAAAGAAATGTAGTCATAACTACTGTGGTGGAGAGTCCACAAGAACAGGATTGTGGCTGAAAATATTTAGACGTCACAAAACTGGCTTTGTGTCTCCGTACCGGAGAGTGGGGCAGTATTTAAATATCTCTTGCATCTTCTGCAGAATCAACCTTGCTTTACATGAACAAGGAGGTGTGCTGTCATCCCAGATTTGCATAGGAGTTTATGGTTTACTTCATGATTTACTTCATCACTGTATGGGTATGCACTGCCAAGTGTATCAGCACTGGCCAAGGATCTTCACAAAAAGTTTCCCCAAAGATTATGACGGGAGTCATCAGAATTTTATGGTAATACTGATATTGTTGCTCCCTTATCTGTTTCAGTCCAGCACAAATGAAAAGGTTTGCCCACTCAAGTTTTTTGAAGAGGCTCAAGTTGTTTGAAGTGTGTACTCCCACTAATCCTAAAGTGCCAAGAAAATTTGCTATTTACCTTTCAGGAATGACAATTCTGGCTCTCAGTTTTTCTGCCCATGTTTTCCTTCTTCTGCATCTCAAGTTACAATTACTAACTCACAGCACAAGAGCTCTTACTAAGCATGACATAAAACGGTATTGTCCAATGAATGTCTAGTGAGTATTAACAAGTAGCATCTCCATAGACTCTAAAAC